TAGTACAAGTACGTAAGTATGTAGCACCACGGAGACAAAAAAACCCAAACTCTGCAGTGCGGGGCCGGTGTTGATAGGGGTTATACGGGTAGGGCATTATGGGGGAGCAGGAGGGAAAATATAGCAAACAAAAACAGGCAATAGTAGATGAAATTATTATACTGTGCCAATATGCACAACGAACAAGCGCGCGATAATTGAAAAATCCGCAAAAAGCAAGTTGCGACAAATAAGAGGTACTAACTGAATAAACCGCCTATGAATATATCAGAGCAGGTCAGTAGCTAATGAGACAAAACTGACTTGTAGGGCCCTCTAAATATCCATTCCAACTGTCAAACATATTCTGTGGTCAAACATTTACTTCTTGGTTTGTGAGTGTAACTGAATATTTAATTGTGGTGGAAGTGCTCAAAAAATATTAAATTATAGAAACTAATATTTGTTTCAATAGACTAAAAAGAATAAAATTCAATCAACATAAACCCCTGTTGGTCGGGAAACTGATGCAAATTGAAGGAAATTCAACTTTATATTGGCGGAATTTAACGAAGAAAAGGGAAAGTCGGGTTACTGAAAATGTAAAAGTAAGTTATTGTTATAAGTCAAAGTCAAAAAGGACACACACACCTGGTCGAATATATCAAAAGGGCTGACAAAAGTTGATTTTTTCTAGGAAGTTGTGTTTTTTGATTGAAAAAGAGTTCATTTTTAAAACTTTTTCAGGTGTTTTGATGTTTATTAATCTATTGCAATAGGCATGGATTTTTTAAAAGTTCTAATAAATTAAGGAACATGGTTCACATCTGCTGCATTTGTGTAAACGCTCTACTGGGCCATTTCCCATCGAATGCAGTGAGGAGTGTTCAAAATGACAAATATTCCGCGTAGGCTGCTAATAAGACCTCATGAACTGCCGGATTATCGGCATTCGAAAGGACTATCAGAGAAAATGGGGCTTCTGAGACGGCTTAAATGCTGATATTCTGAAAAGGCAGACACATTTTCAGCGAGAAAATGTGACTTACTGTACAAACTTGGTTACATAACCAGACTTAGAAATAACTGCCCGTGTTTTAAAGGAGAGACTTAACGTGAAAGGATTTGGAGAAAAAACTCTAGTCCTCTACTAACAAGTCGACAAAACCGAGCTATAGTAGACTAAAAAAGGAGTTAATTATACTTTTGAAGTTCATTCAAACCTGTTTGTTGGGAAAGTTCAAAAGTCCTTCGATCGAAAGTTTAAGCCAACATACAGCAGTTGGCCTATCTTATCAAATGTTAACTAAAATTCAGAAACGGACTTTCAATAAGAAGGGATTACTTGGATGGGGTTGCAGTACTGATCAGCATACAGCATCAATCTGTCAAAGCCAGCTTGGCATAGCATGGCGACATGAATAATATAAAGTTCCCCATTAATTTTCCGCGTTCCTTATCAACTAAAATACAATTCGTAGAAAGCATGAAAAAAAACAGCAATTTTTTGTGCTCATTTGGTCTACAAATACGCTTTTTTTACATTTTGAAGAAAGGGTAACTTTCAGTTTTCAAAAAGTAAGTCAATTTTACAAGAACCACATAAAGAGCATTAACACAATTGCATTCTAGCGCACATGGTGGGCTCATATCATCGTGTGGATGTCAGAGAGGCTTTCCAAGTAATCTAAAAGGTGCCTTAGAGATATTCAAAGTTCTTTGGACAGCGTTTGTTGGCCATGACAAACGCGGCTGCCATCAGGCTATTCAAACCGGGCCCGTGCGCCCAAAAGAACTTCGTAGGGGGCCGCAATTACCATGGCCGAAAGTCGCCAATTCAACCGCCCGCAGCTTATCACCCTTCTCGGCTGCCAGTTCCCCCTGACGCCGATCAGATTATTGACCCCAGTTTTGCAGCCTCCCTCCCCCATACGACCCCGAAAACCGTACCGATTTTTCCATCAACCCGCATAGTTTATTCACTTGGGAACCATAGAACTGTACAGGCCTGAAGGCAATTTATCGAAAGCAAATGTGAACACGCCAATTTATATTCTGAAATTTAGAAGAATTTGGAAGCCTACCAGGATTTTGGCATGGTCAAAATATCTTCGGAGTAGATTTTATAATGATTAATATTACTATTCCACCCAAGTAATCCTTTCCAGGCGGAAAATATAGTTTCCAATTTCAGTTAACTTTTCCAGAGATAGCCTAGTTGCCTTAATTCTGTGTTAGTCAGTTAGGCCCAACTGTCTCCTAAAAAGAAGCAAATAAGTTGAGGTTGCGTAACTAACTAAAAAGAAATGCAATGCCATGAAGTCTGACAATGACAAAACCTACAGACTCTCTGCGCGGATCAGCAGTGTGAGGAATTCACAAATTAGTCCAAGCAGCGCGTACATGCAAGAATTGTTGACGTTATAGGCGCTTAAAAGTGGGCCCAACGCTCGCCAGCGAGGTAATGTGCGTGACACAGCAGTTTAGAGTAGGCGCGGGGAGAAAAAAAGCAAGACAAAACGACCGGAAAACGGGTTCACAAACAATAATCCGGACCTGCACTGTGTCTGCTAACGGCGGCGCCTGCTGTTCGAAGGGGCACCAACGATGCAGAGCGTCGGCGACTTTCTTCTGTGACGCACTGACTGTCTGATACCGACGCTTAATCTGCTTGCGAAGGTCCACCAACCGCTGGAGGGATGCTACTAGGTTCTGGGAGCGTTGGGCGAAGTCGGAGGGGTTGATAGCGGTGCAGTTGGTCGTAGCAGGTTTCACGGACGGCTCCTCAGGGATAGGCGGGTTAGTCGGAGGTGGCTCAGTCGTAGTCTTGTTGTGGTTTGGAGTGCTGGACGGCGCTG